ATTGTACTTTTTCTCCACAAAATTCATTTGATAACTGTATTCAAACAGTTTTAGATTACTCATACAACATTTAAATGTATCAAAACATGATGTTATTGAAGTTAATTAAATATATTGGCCTGAAATTCTGTGGAATACATACTTTTAGTTTAAGTATAGTTTGATGCTAGTAGTGTTATAATGTCATTTGTAACAGGTGATCTGTGTGCTGTGGTGTTGCTTCCTGTACAAAGCAAGGATCTGTCTCCTGTAGAGATAAACTCACGTCATAAAAACAGTTTGTGTTCTGAACGAGTCCCTCTCCCTGTCTGCCTGCAGGAGACATCATGCAGAGGTTCAGTTTCCCAGCAGGCAGTGCGCCCTCCTGCAGCAAACCCCCCAGCACCCCCCCGAAGACACGCTTCACTCGCCAGGCCGGTCAGTATCCAACATAAGTGTTCCTTCAAAAGGTTATTAAAAAATCTAGTATGAATTCAGCTTAAATGTAAATCTACTGATGAGGCGCCAACCGATGTAACTAAGTACATTTACTCAAGTATTGTATGTTAAAACCACTACAGTTAGAATAATAATAATAATCAATAAAATAATAATAAACCTTATTTATATAGCACCTTTCAAAGAGTTACAAAGCATTTACATAAAAACCAGAACAGCTTCACACACAGAAAGGGATTCAGATTCAGTTACTTTGCATAAAAACAAATTGCCAGCTATAAACATTGAAGTCGTTTTCTCATTAACAATATAAAATATATTTTACAAAATGAGACTGAATCTTTTTTGTTGTTGTTTTGTTGAGATTTTCTTAAATTAAATGGTTTTATGTTTGATGCCTATACAACTATGAGTTTTACTTTTACTAAAGTAAAATGTCCAATGCTGAAGCTTTTACTTTTATTAGAATATTATAACAGTTTGATATGAATTATTTTAGCTAAGTAATCTGAATATTCCTTCTACCACTGCCACAAACCAACCTCCTATAGAGTCTCATAACTCAGTGATTAGCAGTCTGCAATAAGTATTACAATCCTTTCATAAACACTTTGTATCGGGCTGGTCCCTCAAATGACAGTCAGAGAGGGCATGCATTAAATGATGATCTTATTTCTCTCATCAGGTCTTCTGGGGGCAGAGGTCAACATCAGAGTGTCTCTGAAGGGGTTCCCCTCCCCCGTCACCTCCGCCCTGTCCCGCCCTCAGAGGGGGGGGCTGTTCGAGCACTACGTCTTCTCTGGACGTAAGAACCCGCCTGTTACACACTCACTATTCTCACTAAAGCAGAGAAATAGTTGACCATCCCCAGGGGATCTTGGGTTTTGTGACAGCTCCATTTAAGAATAATATAAAAGATGAAACTACCACACTGCTGACTATGTGGTGTTTTAAAGCAGTTTTAAACACCAGTAGTGATAGAAATGTCTCTGAGGCTGATCGTGTATGTGCTGAGGTCAGTACTGCACTAAAGTACAGTTTGAAGATACTTGTATTTTACTTCAGTTTTTTCTTTTCATGCCACGTTCTACTTCTTCACCTGAGGCAGATATTGTACTTTTTACTCCAATACATGTATCTGACAGCTTTAGAGGCTTCACCGTTTTTATTCCATCAGCCAGCAGACAGAAGAAGGATCAGCAGATATTCTGATGGTTGGAGTCATTCTTCCTGTAGACACGTTTCAAGGTTCCAGCTTCTCTCTGTGCAGATGTGCAGCTTGGCTTATCTTAATGTATACGTTATTAGGTTGAAGTTTGGATTGAACAAACTCTGATGGTCTCAGGTGATTGGCCGGAATCTCTCACTATTTTCAGAATGTTCAAAAACCAAGGGATCTTTGGATTAGTCTTGGAGAAAACAGTTCAATGTGAGCTCTACCCCAAATAACGATAAGAGTTAAACCCTTCTTTTCATGAGTAATAATAATATAACATAAAATGATATACCAGGAGACATGTTCCTGCTTGGAGTCAGTTCTTCTTCCCGATATATTTGACATAATGGTCACAAACTCTTAACTATTTCCATGTTGGACCTTTCCATCTGTGACAGCTCTGACTCGTCCAGTGTGTGAAGTGATGATAATCCTCTCTCTCTGCAGCTCTCTTCTTCAGCGTCCACATCTCAGGGGACCTGCTGGTGCTGACCACACCTCCCCCCCCCCCGCAGCCCCGGCCCCCCCGCCAATCCTCAGCCCTGTTGTGTACAGCGACTTCACCAACATGGCCGATCAGAATGCTAACACGCCCCCCCCAGCTAACTCCATCAGAGTGTGGCTGCGCTGTCCCTGACATCCTGACGTCCTGCTCTGGTATTATAACCACAATATTTTCAAAGCACTAAATGTATCATGTACTATTATTGTAGTACATTCATATCATGATTTCAATCCCCAGAAGTGGTAACTATAATGTTCCAATGTAACTAATATTCCTTACAAATTTGAAGAGCTGCGTCATTCTTTAAAACGTTCCACTGATTACAAACACCACATCACTGCTTATCATTATTCAGCTTTATTATTACAAGTTTATTAACAGTCTACAGAGCAACATGAAGATACTAACAAAATAATCAAGAATAAACACAACTGAACTGGATCATCATCATCATCAGGCCAAGCCCCCTCTGCCCATGGCCCCTCCCCTTCCTCCTCGAAAGAAAGTGCCTGAAAACAAATGTGAGGAGAAAGCATTAGAAACAACGACAGATTCCATGTGATCATATCTGTTTGTGATCTATCCCCATGTTTATGCTGCTCTCTGCTTATTGCACTTCAATAAACAGCTTTATCATTCCCCAGAGTGACTGGAGGTTATTTTGAACATGTTCCACATCAGGTCTTAACAGAGTGCTCAAGGGATGACGTATTTTTGAGTTAGCATCACAAGGGCTCCCTCAACAAGAAGCCGAGGGATTCTTCTAAAGAATTTATAATATTGCAGAAATTAAGATTTTTGCCAAAAAAACGTTTTATATTTTCACATTTTGTTCAGCAATATAATGTCCACACATTAATAACACTTCATGATTTTGAAAGTATAAAGTCAATCAACAGAAATAAAAAGATCATCATTACGTTATAACAACCACCTTACGTCTCCACCGCTAAGATAAAAGTGGCTAATGTTCAGCGTAATGACGTTTAGTAGTCTAATTTAGACACTTGTTAGCAACCGTCTTTAAAAGGACACAAAAAAGCTTCTGACATTCACCAGCGTGTATTTACTGACATATTCTATGCCGTAAAACAAAACATGAAAATCTCTTCAGCTCGTGTTAACAGACATTATTCAAAGGCTTCTAACCAAAAACACATTCAAAAAACTGTTGACTTGAAGACGAAAGAGCGGGAGGTGCTGAAATGCTGACTCATTTCTGGAGTTAGGACTCATTCCTGCACCACTACATCATCTCTCTGACACTGAAAGGACAGTTGTATGTGGTCACCTCTGCGGCTGAGCAGCGTGCGCGCCTCCATCCTCCCCCCCCTGGTTCCTCTGCTCATCACACCACTTACTGTGCGCCGCTGAGCTGCACTGCTGGTGTCTGAGGACGGAGAGGAGTGGACTGTCAGGGACAACACATCAGGACAAACATTAAACACAACCAAAGATTAACATCTGTCATATGAACTAGGACAAACAGATTCAGCTGAAACAAATATCACCGTCAGTCATTCAGAGTGTGGATCGGTTGAGATTATCAGAAGCTGTCGATTTTTCAATGTTTAGACATTCTATTTAAAAACCTAAACAGATTGATCTGGTTGTCCAGCTGTCCAGATAAGCATCCCCTTGTGTACAAATTGATGTTGAAATATATGTTAAAATACCATTTTGAATGAAGTATTGCTGAGCTGCAGTCTACAAATTCTTTACTACAGACTTAATCAGTCCCTGAGCAAGGCACCGTTCCCTACACTGCTCCCTGGGTGCCGTTCATAATGGCAGCCCACTGCTCCTAACACTAGCATGGGTCAAATGCAGAGAAACCATTTCCTTACATATACCTGTACTACGTAATGACAATAAAAGTGAAAAAACTCCCCAAAAAAACAACTAGTTTCTTTGATACAGTTACTCATACTTATTTATTGTTCAATGAAAAATCATCAATCCCTCCAATATTGTGAATAACACCGAAAATGATAGAATGATACAGTAGGGCTGTTGCCAGTAGCTTTTATAAATTGTCTTCTAAAAACCTAGTTATTAGACACGTTATTTTTTTCAGACTTCAAATCCATGACAACTGAAACAATTTAGAGGGTGTGTTAATGGTCATTATAAAACGGACAAGTCAAATCAAGCAATCTGATTGGTTCTTAGCCGTGATATAATGAGCGTATATCACGGGTAGAATTGTAGTTACTTTTCAAAACAAGTCAGTATCCCTCCACGTCTGAGAAAAGCTACAACCGTTACAACTGTTACATTACGTCCGTTATGAAACTAACTAACTAACAAAGCTTAAGATGGAAACATGTAAGGGATAATGTGCAGCAAGGACTTATTGACCGTTGTTAAGGACGCTCACATCTGCAGAAAGAAGTCCGGTCGATTTAACTGTATACAGTTGGGCTGAAAAGCAAACTGGGACAAGAAAACAGCGGAGAAGTAACGGGACAGACCTCCTTTTTACGCAACGGTCCAGACATAGACATCAAACGGCAAAACATATTCAGTTGCCAGTTACTTTGGCATTAGGGCAGGGATATCTAGATACTTTCCAAGGTTTGACATAATGAATTGTGCTACTTTTAAAGCAAGCAGCGATGTTTTCAAATCTGTAATCAAAAAGGTCCGTAAAAACGCTATCGAAGCAGTTCCTGCCGTTGCTACGTAGTTCAAACAGTAACAACGGACTATTTTTGATCTGCCTGTCGGGTGTTCTTTTACCCATAATGACCGCCTCGCTGCACATTATCCCTTACTTAACTTTGACCTCCGGGGTGGTCTTACTATGGAGGAGTGGATTGAGCAGTGCCTATCTCCAGAGCAAAAAGCACCTAAACGACGACATGTAGAGCTACGTGAAGAGCAGGTAGACCAACTGGAAAAGTATCACCATTCAAAAGCTTTCTGATGCGGGTCTTGAAACAAAGCAGAGAAATGATGACCGTTAGTGGCCACAGGTGCGAAAGCTCTCTCCAGAGCTACTGGAAGCCGAATCTCGGGGACCGGAGAAAGTGGAGCAATATTCTCGCCACGCCAAGCAACAGCCTAGAACAACCTCAGCCTATACAAGTAACCACGTAAGCCATGCTACTGATGCTGGACAGTTTTTCAGTGGGTGCACAATAAACGGCAACATACAAATGAATGTAAATAAATAGCCAAATAATGGATCAACGCTCTCTGTCTAATATGTTCGCTAGCTGTTAGTGTTGTTGCATAGCAACCACCTCACACTGTTTTGTGCAGAAGGCAACGGAGGGACTGTTTTATTTTGAACATCATTATTTACTAATAAAAACTATTTAAATTAGAGTGTGTATTTTTCTTTCATATTGCCACACTTGGTAACCGTTTTACAAAAGCAATAGCTCACGACAGGCCGTGGTATATGGTCATTATATCACAGTTAGAGGGCGTGGTTCGGCCCGACGCGAAGCCCCAATACTGTGGGGATTGTCCACAGTATTGAGTATGTAAGTCGCTTTGGATAAAAGCGTCGAACAAGTGACATGTAATGTAATATAAAGTCAAACAGTATCAATTTTATTAAGAACTAATGGGAACATTTTATTTGTATCACTCATCAAAGATAGCAGATAAACATGCATTATGTAGCCTACTATGGAGGGGACTTTGACAGAGGATTACTCACAAAGTACACAGTAAAAGTAATTCAGGTAACACTTTACAATAAGGTACACAAAATGTGCTTAGTTACTGCTTAGTTACTGAGGAACTACTAGATAGTTAATGGTTAGTTAATGAGTAGTTCCTCAGGGACTGCGATTGAGGAACTGATGGTTAGTTACTGGTAAACAGACTGGGGGTACTGTATTAATGAATCATTCGTTAATGGTTACTTAATGAGGAGTTTCTGGGAGACTTTGATTGAAGCAATGGTCCGCTGCAGCAGGGCACTTTTAAACCTGCCATCTTCGGCTGGCTTGGGTCCCACACTGGATCAACTGGTGGAGGTGGATCCGACTGTCGTTTTACTGCTTAAGTCATCATTATTTACCTTACCATTACTTAGGCCGTTTGGGTACGGTAAACTCAAGGAACGCAAACAAAAACAGTAGTTACCCATTACCTAATGATTACCTTACCGTTACTAAAACAGTAGTTACCCATTACCTAATGCTTACTTTACCATTCCTTAAGCAGTATGTGTCCCCTCAAGTAAAGTAATGCATCAAAAACAGTAGTTACCCATTACCTAATGCTTACTTTACCATTCCTTAAGCAGTATGTGTCCCCTCAAGTAAAGTAATGCATCAAAAACAGTAGTTACCCATTACCTAATGCTTACTTTACCATTACTAAAACAGTAGTTACCCATTAACTAATGATTACCTCACCATTACTGTATCTTACCATTAGTTAAGCAGTTTAACAAACAAACAAACAAACAAACAAACACTGTTAATGACAATGACGGATCTACAGCCACTGAAGTTTTACATTTTTATTGAAACAAGGATGAACATAAAAAAAAAAAAAATGTAAATAAAAACGACCTTTTATAAAAAAAAACTAAAAACAAGTGCAAAGCAAAAAACATCCAGTCCTCCATTTGTCTTTAAGTCCTGGACCTTCCCCTCGAAATGTTGGTCCTTTATGGCAGACTTGCACATCTCCGAGAAACGGAGAAGGGTTTCCCCCTTCTTCAGTGTTCCCCGGATATCTTGGAAGATGCCCGGGTTCACAGCATGCAGTTCTGCAATTCCTGCAGTGTCGGCAATGGTTTTGCGGTCCACTCCTACCGCTCTGTAAGCCGCCGTTTTATTGTTGCCCTTGTTCACCGCCTCAAGAAAACGCTTGTAGCGGGTTATGGCGTCTTCTGGGGTCAGGACTGAAACAGAAAAAAAGACAAATATTTAACTATTTAACAACAGTACTTTGTTGTTGCCTATCCTAATGATGTCTGTAGTGCAGAAATCAGTTTGGATATGGGTTTATTAGTATTGATAATATTCTTGTACTAGTGTTATATAGTGGTAGTGTAATCCTTACATACAAAATTGTGTAATGAATTGGTGTAGTGTAAAGGTATTACTAGTCGTGTAGCTTTGCTCAAAGTAATGTTTAAATGTTAGTTATTGTGTTTGGGGTGTGTACCTTTATATACAGAAGTTAGGTTTGGGCAATCAGCTCTACTTTTATCCAATCATGTTTAATAGAGATAACTGATAAGACGATCCACAATGTGGATTTAACACTATATCGAGATTGCTCCGTTTCTAATTTATAACGCATCAATATTGCCAAGTTTTAGCCTGGCATCCTCATGTCTCAGCAGCCTTTAAATGGAACAGTTTGGAGAAGCTGCTCTCCCTGTTTTTTTTTGAAAAATCTGACACTGCAGGTTAATGTAAGCGTGCAGAGACCAACAGAGATGGAGTTGTTTGGAAACACTGGTGTCACTCTGAACAGAGCGACATCACAGCATGTTCTGTTTAACATTATAGGCCTACTTATATTCAGGGATGCAAACACATGTATGGTGAAAAAAGAGAGAACTATTCGAAACAGAAAAAACTGCGTAATATACCATCTGACAAAGGCCTGCGCTATAATGCTTCAATTAACTGGCTATTCTTTATAATATACTCTGATCAATAGGAGACAGAGATGTTAAGTTACAAATCAAGGGTTTTTATTATTATTTAGATCAGGGGTGGGGAACTTTTTTCTCTCAAGGGCCATTTCAATTTTTACAACTTTCTCCAAGGGCCGTACAAATTATTGAACTCAATTTCTGCTTAAAAATACTAAAATCACAGCCCATTCATTTCGCCTTTCTTTCATGCTGTGCAAAGAAAAAGCAACCTCTTAATCCAGATATTTTACCATGACTCGCGCATGCATGCATACACAGTTGTGGCATGACCACCAAAACAGAAAGATATAGACACAAGATGTGTGCAAATTTGTTTTTAAATGTTGAAGTTAAATGCATCAATCTGGTGCACTTTGAGAGCAAAATTAAGAGATCTATGGACACATCTCCCAACACCCATATGAAACAGACCTGTAAGCAGATTTCTCTTTTTCTTTATGGATATTTTACAAATCACTCCCCTTTTAAACTGTATTCTTGTTATTTAAAAAAACGTTTTTGTTACTGTTAAAGTATTTTATACCTGTTTTTCATTTAGTCTCTTTTTTTTATATAACTATAATGATCATATCAAGGTGTGCCTTAACCTCACTGAGCTGAGGTTATTTGAGCCTCTCAGTCTGTCAGGAGAGAGCTCTCTTCCACCTGGTTGTAGAAAAAGCTCTTTATAGCTAGCTAGCTAACCAGATGCTAATAACAACAGATCGCCAATGGGCTTACAACTAAAGACACAGCCACGCAAAAACTGCGGCATGTATAAGGCATCCTTATGGGTACTGCAATATTTGAAGTGCTGGAGCGGCATTCCGTTGTCCGTCAGTCTGTGAGTCGGACCCCCCACGCCCCCAAAATGAAAACTCTTCGGTTCTCCACGAATTACACAAGTCACCCAAATCAGCGTTAAAAGGTTAGCCTGTTTTAATTTTGAACGCAAAAAACAATGCTGTGTTAAAATAAAATACTCTCGTTTCTAGCGCCCTAATGTCATTTACTTATTTAACAATTTAACTAATTTAACCCATAAGAACCCAGACCCATTTCTACTTTTGGGGAAATTAAGGGGAACATAATTTAGACTAAATAGACCACATTTCTGACAATGTCACATTGAACTTTAATGGTAAAGCAACTCTTATTTATAACTTAATGAATGAGGAGGATTTTTTGAT